TGGACATTAGCAGGCAGGATGTGGGATGGTATAAAAGGACCTGTCAGACTCTCTCTGAGATCTCTTCCGGCTGTAGAGTATTTCAAAATGCCAACCTCTCTCACATAGTAAGAGTCAAATAAATATTGGTTGGTGGGTGGTTTCTCCCCCTGCCTTCTCAATTGTCCTCTCTAGCCTGAGTTAGAGCCTGGTGGGAGTGAAGACTTAGTCTCTTCCCTTTGGGTCGGTCAGTGTTTTGGGCCTGAGTGACCTTGGGCAAATCTCTTAACCACCCTGGGAGGAGCAGGGGGATGCTGGAAGGCCTACAATCCTAGAACCAGTCTTTGCCGGGGGCCTGCTTTCCTTTCTCTCTGTCATAAAAGTGTGAGTGTGACTGGGGGCTGGGGAAGGGGCGGGCAGGAGGAGGAGGGACACTCCTCAGAACAATGGAGCAGACTGCCTGCTGTGGGGAGCTGGGGGGGAGGGTTGGGGTGGGTGTGAGGAGCAGGACCTACTGCCTTTTAAGCCGGGGCCTAATGGTCTTAACAGGGCATCCGGTATATTTCCTTTCCTCTTCACACCCACCCATTGGCTAGCTGGCTTTGGCCCCCCACTGTGGAAAAGACCTGTAGCTCACAGCTGGCCCCTAGGGAGAGCTGGGGAGGAGGACAGCAGCTGGCCAGCCCTGGGCAGCCTGAATTACAGCCTTGGAAAGAGAATTTCTCCCCAACAGGAAGGGATATTTCAATCTTTCTTCCAATACAGTTTATTTCTGGCTCTGACGCCTAGCTGGTGTTTTTCTGACTCTCTTCCAATTAGTGGAATTAAGAGGAAAAACAGAGGAGGATGGGTATATACAGACTTGCATGGTGAGGGAGGAACCTTGGGGCAGTGGACAGAGCCCTGGGCTAGGAGTTAGGAGACCAGGGCTCTGAGGGGAGCTCACTGTGAATGTGGGCAAGTAAGCAAATTATTTTCACCTCTCTGGGCTCCTGGGTCCTGCCTGGAATGCATCTAAACTGCCTTAGCTTCTGTTTGCTCATCTACAAATGTGAGAGTTGCACTGAATGGCGCAGAAGATAGAACTCAGGGCCTGGAGTCAGGATAGTTCTGGATTCCTGAGTTCAAACCCAGCCTCAGACATTGGATGTGTGTCTCTGGATGAGACAAAACTCTGCCTCAGTTTTCTCATGTGTAAAAATGAGGATAATAGGGCAGTTGAGTGGTGCAGTGGATAGAGCACTGGCCCTGAAGTCAGGAGGACCTGAGTTCAAATCCAGCCTCAGACCAAACACTTGACACTTACTAGATGTGTGACCCTGGGCAAGTCACTTAACCCCAATTGCCTAAAAAAAAAATGAGGATAATAATAGCACCTACCTCCCAGGGCTGTTGTGAGGACCAAATGGGACAATAATTGTAAAATGCTTAGTACAATGTCTTTCCCATAGTACGTGCTATGTAAATGTTAGCTATGATCATTATTGTCATCATTATTATTATATTAACTCTGAGGTCTCATCTAGCTCTAGCTGTATTAAGGACTCTTCTGGGTCTCTTTCATCTGACACTGATATTCTATATTATCGCTAGACTAAGGGTCCTCTTGGTTTGGACATTCTCTATTCTATGGTCTGGGATTCCTGAGAGCAGAGATTATTTCATCTTTTTTATATCTATATCGCCAACATTTAGCACGGTGCCTAGCACATAGTAAGTAGTTGATAAATGCTTGTTGATTGAATCTAAGGTCCCTCCCAGAACTTCCACTCTGTGTTCTTTGTTTTGAAGTCTTTCCCAGGTCTTCCATTCTATGATTCTCTGAGGGGCCAGCTTCTTTCTAATGGGAGCTCTGCAAGAAGATTTCCCTTTGTTAATGAGAGCATATTTCCCAAGGCGGACAGAGGGCTCTGTTTGATCTAGCCCTGGCTTTTTGAACTTTGTAAACTTTATACGGGATAGGAAAGAGTATTTTTAATCAGGACCAGAAGTCCTAGGGAACTTCAAAGGTAGCGTTAACTAAGTCCTCAATTCCCATTGAGTAGAGCCCTCTGGGAGACAGTCCAGGGCTCCTCAGAGACTTTTAACAAGTCAGGGGCTCACCACCAGGCACCCCCAGCAATTACAGCCGGGCCTGACCTGAGCTGAATGGTAACTTCCCTTTCATCCTCACACGGGCCGCAGGTTGGAAATTTCTTGCTTTTAGGATTTTTGTAGGGGCTCTGGGATTGTTTTCTGTAGGCAGAGGTAGAAGAGATTCACAGGTAAATTGAAAATTTGTTGAACATAAGCTGGTGCCCTTCCCTAGTCCTTTTTTTCCTTAATCTTAGGGAGAAAAGTTCTTCCTTGACAGCCATATGTGCAAACTGCTAGAAAGAGCACAGGGGTCAGGAGCCCCTTGACCTAGTCCTGGTGACTCTGCTAGCAATGTGGTAGGATGCCATGGAATATTAGTTCTGAAAATAATCTTATCTAGTCCAAGGGTTCTTAACCTTTATATGTCATGGACCTCTTTGGCCATTTGGTGAAATTGATGGACCCTTTCTCGGAATAATGTTTTTAAATATATAATATAAAATACGTAGAATTACCAAAGGAACCAATTATAATGAAGTACATTTATTAACATATTTTAAAAAAATTCACAGACCCCAGTTTAAGAACCTCTGACTCAGTTGGATTCATTCATTTTACAAATGAGAAAACTGAGGCCCAAAGAGGGGAGATGATTTATTGAAAGTCACAGACTTCAAAGTTCTCTGGGGGAGGGGGTTGTCTTACTTTTGTATTTATATTCTGGTACCTAGTACAGTTTCTGGCACATAGTAGGTATTTAATAAATTGGTGTTAATTGGTCATCAAGTAAATTACCATTTGAGAAGTGCCCTTACCCCCCCCAACAAATTCTTAGGCTTACTGTGATTTTTCATTAAATTTTAATTTTCTGGAGGATGTTAAATTGGTCAATTTTATTTTCCAGTCTGACCTTTGGGAGCTAAATTAGCTCATTTCTGTTAATCCCTTTGAGGAACTGGAAAGTTTGGGAAAGAGTTGTTGGAGAAGATATTTCCTAGGATTTAGAGCTGGAAGAAACCTTAGAGAATTTCTCATTCAGCTCCCCCCCTTTCACTCCCCCCCCTTTTTTTTCCAGAGAAGGATGCTGAGGCCCAGGTTGGGGAAGGGACTTACCCAAGGCCACAAAGATTTATGGCCAGACCAGAACAAGAGCCCAAATTTCCTGACTTCAAATCCATTGGTTTTTTTTCCTTTTCTTTTCTTTCTATTACACTCAACTGCCTGGCCAGAGTTTCCTGACAGATAGTATTTCTAAACTGGTAACCTCAGAAGAAAACCTGGCTCTCTCTGGCCCCATCAACCTATGCCCCTTACCCTCTCTTGTCAAGCAAATTTGAGTTAGAGAAGATTGGAAGTCATTTGATAGGTGTGGTTGTTAAATTGGTTTCTTGGAAGTGTAAGTCATTATTGCAGTTGGCCATGTGAATACCATGTGTTTCTTGTTCAACCAATTATGTGAAAGTAGCAGAGCCAGGGCTGTAATTGGATTTTTCTGCTAGAAGAAGGGCTAAGCAGGAATATATACATATACATACATATGTAAATATATGTGTATAAATACACTTGTATATACACAGCCATACATCATACATCTACAATCCATATGTCTGTATATCTATACATACATACATATGTCTACATACACACACACACACACACATATATACATGCACAACTGGGTGGCAAAGTGGATAGAGTGCCTGACCTACAGTTAGAAAGACCTGAGTTCAAATGTGACCTTATACACTTGCTAGCTCTGTGGCCCCCGGTAAAATCACTTAACCCTTTTTGCCTCAGTTTCCTCATCTGTAAAATGAACTGGAGAAGGACATAGCAAACCTCTCCAGTGTCTTTTTGAAGAAAACCCCAAATGGAGTCATGAAGAGTTGGACACAACTGAAAAATGACTGAACAATTGAACAAATTAATTATTTTAAAGCATTCTGAGGAGTCCATAGCCTTCACCAGACTGCCATAGATTAAGGACTCTTAGACTAGATAATCTTTCAAGTTCCCTTCTGGCTTAGGATTTAGTGGAATTTATTCTACTGAGTAGTAGAGTAGGGAAGAGGATAGTTCTGAGGTTCTATGTCCTGGTCAGATCATGGCTGGAGGTGGTTCCATTCTAGAATCAACATTTTAGGAAGGACATGGGTGAGTTGGCAGAGATCTGGAGGAGTGTGACCAAGATGATGGAAGGATCAAAGATTTTATGAGGATTGGTTAAAATAACTGAGCATGTTTAGTATGGAGAAGAAAAGACCAAATGTAGAAATAATTGCTGTCTTCCAGTACTTGAAGGGCTGCCACACTGAAGATGATTTGTGCTTGAAAAAAGTCAGAATCAGGAGGAATGAATGGAAGTTGGAGAGAGGAAGACCTTGGCTGGATAGGAGGAAAAACTTTCGAGTAGTAGCAGCTGTCTTAAAGTGGAAAGGGCCAGTATAGCAGGCAGTGACTTCCCCATTACTAGAAAAACTGGACAATTTTGTGATATTTTGTAGGGGGGATTCTTATTCAGGTATGGGTTGTATTTTATGGCCTCAGAAGGCCTTTCCAGTTCTAGAATTCTGTGATCACTCTGGAGAGTCCAAGGTGCCAAACAAAGAGCTGGTGATATCCTCATCTCACCTGGTTTGCTGTGATTTTCCAGAGCCCTAGGTTGTCTGGGAGCAAACACAACACAGTCTTGTTAGTGGTTTCCGAAGGACAGTTAATTAAGAACACAAGTGAATGGATAGTTATTAAGGACACCCCAAGCCCAGCTATTAAGCTCTGATAATTATTTTCACACTGGGTTCTTAAAAATGAAATGTGAGTGTAGCTTGTTAACCAGCCGTGGACTGCAGGAGCCTCTGTGAGTGGCAGATCCAATTGTTTCCTTGTCCTTTCCTCTCCTGCTTTCATCAGGACTGATGCCTCTTTGTCTTTCCTCTTCTCTCTAGGATCCAAGAATTTCAGCTTTAATTCTTGACAGACTCCAAGTGCCTGAGTATCTCCAGAGGAACAGGTTGGAAGGAGAGAGTCGCTGTGACGTGTGTGCCACACACCTGAACCAGCTTAAGCAAGAAGCCATCCAGATGGTCCAAGTGTCTTCCTGTCATGAGAGGCTTGACCACCCACATGGTCCTGGGGCCCTAGCTCGCTTGGCATCTCAGAACCTGGCCAACCATTGCTCGTTGGGTGGAGACTTGCCTTTGGCCTCAGGGCAAGTGGGGAAGCAGCAGGCTTCTCTCTTCCCTGGGGCAGAGAGGAAAAAAGCTCTGGCATGGCCCCCAGGCCCTGGTGGCTTTCCCAACTCCAGTGTCCAAGTCACTGTGGCTCCCACAGGCCTAGGTGGTGCCTTGAGTTCTGTCACCATCCAGGCTCAGCAATATCTGGAAGGCATGTGGAGTATCTCCAGAGTGAACAGCTTCCTCCCACCAGCTTGCCTGGTAAGAACTGGTTATTTTTGCTCAAGTAGAACCAAACTCAAGGAAAATAATTTGCATGGTGCCTTGAGCAGCCACCGTAGAAGAGATGGTTCAAACCATGTTCCCTGCAAAATGACATATTTTGCTAGCCTTTTCCAGCTAGCCACACCATGCAGGACAAGGCTCTTGCCTTGTTCCTAAGCTAGAATTGGAGAGGGTCATCAATAATGGTGCATAATACCTCTCTCTCTCAAAAAAAAAAGTAAATTCTTAGTCTTTAAAGGTTCTTAATAAATGCTTATTGACTGGCTGACTGAAGGGTTGTCTCTATTACTGGCTGGGTAGGACTTCTTATTGTGTTTCTACATTGTAACAGCACTCTGATTCTTCTAAAAGTTATAACATCATTTTTTATCTAATGTTAATATAGTTGTCAATGGAAGTTTTGTTTTTTTTTAACCTTGCTCCTTGCTATAGGGTCACACGGGAAGAGCCTGAAAGCTGCATCTAAATGTGATCCTGGAGCTATTGGTTCATTGGTTCAATGTGAGAGGTGGCTTGGGCTTGGCCCATCTGGTAGAACCCGGCTGTGTCTGTAGCCTTAGGGGAGTTGAACCTGTGGCCAAGAAACTACTAATAGGGTGTGACTCTTTGGGGAATGGGGCTGTGTATCACGTTTTGGACATTAAAAGTGGTCTTTAGTGGGCAGCTGCTGCAACCTACAGAGAACTATTCTTGACTGTGGCTAATGCTGCCTTTCTTATGTAAGTCTGGTGGTGATATTCTGCTATAGATTCTTCATTCAGTTGACTTCTACTTGCATATCATAAATGCTTTCTTTAAGAAGAGAGTCAGAAGGTGCTAGTTATGGCAAGTATTGAACAGCATAACAAAAAATGAAATCGGCTGTATCTTAATGGGAGGTGAGATGACTGGTTACAGATGTCTTAGTCATGTCTGAATTAGCCAAAATAAACGCCAGACAGAAGGAAGGAAAAAGGTGAAAAGATGCTGCATGAAACTGCAATAATAGCTCTAATCAGATCTATTTAAACAAACTGTTGATATTGAAAAATAGGAAATGGATAAAGAAAAAAAAACTTTGACTGATAATCATTGATTCTGAGAGGCAGTATGGTATAGTAGAAGGAACACAGAATTGGAATCAAGAGAGATATGAGCTTGAACATGACTTCTGTTGTTGTTGTTGAGTTGTGTTTGACTTTTCATGACCCCATTTGGGGTTTTCGTGGTAAGATACTGCAGTGGTTTGCCACTTCCTTCTCCAGATCACTTTACAGATAAGGAAACTGAGGCAAACAGGGTTAAGTGACTTGCGCAGGATCACACAGCTAGTAAGTGTCTAAGGCCAAATCTGAACTGATGAAGATGAGTCTTCCTGATTCCAAGCTCAGTGCTCTATCCACTGTGCCACCTACCTATTAACTATATTACCATATGCAAATCACTTAACCTTTCTGAGTCTCAGTTTTCCCACCTGTAAAACAGAGCTAATCATACCACTCAGAGCTGTTGTGAGAGTCAGATGAGATGATTTGTCTACAGTTCACTGTAAATCTTACATAAATGTCAGCTGTTATCATCATTTCCTTGGAGAAATTTAACTGATGTAAAGCAATCACCATAATGGGGAGGCCCAAAGAACCCAGAAACCACCTCAACAATGACATGCTTGATCATGCCAGGTAGAGAGACATGACAGCCAAGAGCCACACCAATTTAGAGTAGACATTCATTTGTTGAACTTTATAGAGGAGAATAACAGAAGAATTTGGAGAATAACAGAAGGGGAAGAATTACCTACAGAAAGCTTGTTATGAGACCAAAGTAAATTAGATAATCCCACATAGAAGACAGATACAATTCAGTTTGGGAAGTCTTTCACATGCTTGTCTTGGTGAATTACATTTTTCTGTAGTGTTTACATCAAACCCCTGAATTCTATAGGATCGCCCAAATTCATAGCCCCTCATAAGAGATTGGATATTTATTATGCCACGTAGCAAAAAAGACAAGGACATGGACAATATATAAATCATCCAGACTTTGACATACATTTAGATGAATAGCTCTTTGGATTAGTCCAATAGTGCTAACAATGCCTAGACAGGCATTGCACCTAGACAAATAACTGGCCTCCAAATTGAATGGGAATAAGAGAATGGATTTGATTGGATTTAGAAAAGTGTGAATTACTTTTAATGATCTCAAGAAGCTCTTCGACCCAAATATCCATCTTTTTAGCACTAGCATTTTCTTTGTGAGCTACCTGGCTAGGGACAATCTCCAAAGAATCATAATTGTAGGTGACTCAGAGAGAAAAGGAGAGATGCTCAGTGGATGTGAGTATGTGGACTGTGACATGTTACTCATGATAACTTTCATGCAAGAAGTGGCATGAGAGATATTATTAAGGAAATGTCTGATCAGAAAAGAAGATGGGCCAGTTATACAGTAAGTATAAGGAATAATAGATGGACAGCATGAATGTTGCCCTAGTACCCAGAACATGCTCAAAGACCTCAAAAGAGAAAGGCTTCTATAGAATGAGATATATCTGTGGGGATTTCTGGGAACACAGATTGAGAAAGTTAGGGCCGATGGAAGGAGTGCCTGTATTGATATGATCGTAGGTCAATCAAAATATTGAAGTATAAGATTTTTTGGATATCATTGAACATTTCTGACTCTTCCTGGGTTTGCAATTCAATAAGAGTCGCAGGTTTGGTTTGGTTTTTGTTTTTTCCAGATGAACTGGCATCTAGTCATGTGTCCTCACTTTTAACCTGTCTTCTCACTGATATCTACAAACATTTATTGAGATCTACTTTGAATAAGTCCCTATGTTGCATGCTTTGGAAGAGACAGAGATGGATATGATCTCTTGTGAAGCTCACAGTCTAGAAGGGGGATAAGATCAGGATTCAGATAGCTGTAACTCAAGGCAAGATATAAGGGTCTAAGTGGGAAATTTCTAATCTAATCCTCTTTAAATAGTTTACATGATTGACCTACCTCCTTTGTCAATCATTTCTTTCCTTGATTTATCTCATACTACTTTGGTGAGGTGATGGGGGGGGGGGAGGGCTTTAAGTCACTTGCCTAGCTCACACAGCTAGTGTCAAGTGTCTGAGGCCAGATTTGAATTCAGGTCCTCTTGATTCCAGGGTCGGTGCTTTGTGACACTTAGCTGACCTGTATCTCATCCTACTTTAAATAAAATAAATTAAGACTTTTAAAGGAAAAAAAATCCACCTTATTCCTTCCTCCTTCATCCTCCATTGAAAGAAAAAGAAAAACAAAACCCTTGTAACAATATACACAGTCAAGTAAAACAAATTTATACATTTTCCGTGACCACAAAATATATGTCTCTGTCTTTTCTGTAAATCTATTTCTTTTTTTGTCAGGAGTCAGGGAGCATTTTGTGCTGTTTTTGCATGAAAATCCTGATTGGTAACAGGTACATGCTGATGGGGAAGCCGAGCCCTAGAGAGAAATGATTTGACCTACATGGAATAGTACTTAGTATTAGAGTTTGGATTTGAACCCGGGTCTTCTGTTACAAAGCTCGTGCTAGGGAATTATAGAGGAAAGAAGGAACCTCTGTGTGTGTGTGTGTGTGTGTGTGTGTGTGTGTGTGTGTGTGTGTGTTGGCATGCTAGTGGGCTTGTAGGAGTCGATTATGGAAAAATTCAAGGAGAAAGTATTGCATGTGGGTCTTAAAGGATGGATGAGATAGCAATAAGTAGAGATTGTAGAGGGTAAGAGCTTTGGGAGGAAACAGCCTGAGAAGTCATAGAGGTAGGACATTGTCTGCCTCAGTTCAAGGATTGGGTTTTTCTGGGCTTGGCCAGAATGTAGGATCTATGCTTTAGTAAATGCATTAGAAAGACTCTTCTTTTATTTAGGCCACTAGAAAGAACCATAGAGATGATCTGAAGTCTAAACCCCTTATTTTACAGAAGGGAAAATGAAGAACACCAGCCCTATCCCTAAGTGATCTCTCTAAGTCAAGGCAACAGAATACAGCATGACTCTGGAGTCAAAGGACCTGGATTCAAATCCTGCATCTGATGCTTAGTATCTTATTTGGGACAGCTTAGTATAGGGGAAAAAAAAAGCCCCGGACATGAAAGAGGAATGAAATGTGGATTTGAGTCTGGACCCCATTATTTATTATTATCTACATGACCTTGAACAGTTCACTTATTTTGGTTTTCTCCTTTGTTGTCCCCAATTTTTCCATTTTTATTTTTGGTTCAGACTTGTGATTTCATTGATTTTAGAGATAGGGCAACTCCACTCAATGAAGCAGATTACCCACTCATCCGTATTTTATAGCCCTAGATCTTTGCCAAAGGCCCTGAGACTTTAAGGGACATGTCCAGGGACATACAGCTAGTTAACTCTTCTGAAGCAGGATTTGAACTCATTTCCCTTAACTCCACACTGCTTCTCTCCCTCATTTGTAAATTGTGGTCAATACTCAATTGTTTATCTTACCTTTTGAGGAAACTACCTCTACCAGTGCATATGCCTCTTTGGCTCTCCAATTTATAGTTGTAGAGAGTAGCTGGGGACATGGAGAAACTAAGGATGTTGCTCAGGGTCACACAGTTCCTATGCGTCAGAGGCAGGCTTTCTATGGCTATGTGAGGCTGCCTCTTTCTTAAGAGCAGTAGTGAGGATCAAATGAGGCCACAGATGTAAAGTATTTTGTAAACTGTGAAGTGTGATATAGTTAAATTCCATCTGTTTCCATTCCTGAGGTTTGTAGGAGCTACTGCAGAGAGAAGGGGCAGCTAGGTGGCATAATGGATAGAGTGTTGGCCCAGAGCCAGGAAGACTCATCTTCCTGAGTTCAAATCTGGCCCCAGACACTTACTAGCTATGTGACCCTGGGCAAGTCACTTCACTCTGCTTGCCTCAGTTTCCTCATCTGTAAAATGAGCTGGAGAAGGACATGGCAATCCACTCCAGTACCTTTGCCAAGGAAA